ACCCGGCCCGTCCCCCGGGTCCCCCACCCAAGGCTGTAGCCTCCGTCCTGGAGGCCGCCCGCCCCTGCTCAGCTCCGCAGCGACATCCTGGGCCTTCCTCCCCTGCACAATCCCAAGCCCAGATCACCGGCCCCTCGCGCTGGAGCCTCTGGCCTCGTCTATCCTGCGCTGGGCCTTGCCCTGCTCGCCCGAACTCGCTTCCGCATCCCCTCTAAGCCAGGCTGAGAACAAGAACCCTGGTCCTCGTCCCCAGGCTCCGACAAACTCCTGACATCTTACACCTCTGCCTGACCAGGCCCCGCCGCCAGACCCCCGGCTCTGCCCCTGCCCTCCCTCCTGCCCTCTCCTCTCCCCTGCCAGGCCACTCTCTGCCATCTCCCTGGTCAGTCTGCCGTCCTTGTTTCCCACAGCGATTCCCAACTCTGCTCGCCCTGGCAGCTTCCCTGCCTTGCCCTCTTCTCTCCTGCCCTTTTTGAGTGTCCCGTCTCCCCCAGCACGACATTGAACAGGAGGACCCCCGCGGGCGGACCCCGCTGGAGCTGGCCGTGTCTCTGGGAAACCTGGAGTCTGTGAGAGTGCTCCTTCGACACAATGCCAACGTGGGCAAAGAGAACCGCCAGGGCTGGGCAGGTACTGCAGAGGACAGGGGCTCCCCCTGAGGCTGGCAGGCGGGGGGCAGTGAGCAGCCAGGCCTGGGGTCATCTGGAGGGCTCCCCTCAGCAGCCTGGTGCCCGCAGTCCTGCAGGAGGCAGTCAGCACTGGAGACCCTGAGATGGTGCAGCTGGTGCTCCAGTATCGGGACTACCAGAGGGCTACACAGAGGCTGGCGGGCATTCCGGAACTGCTCAACAAACTTCGCCAGGTACAGCAGGGCACAATTATGGAGGTAGGGTACCATGGCAGGGCATCACCTGGTTACTGTGCCAGGCCTTGCCTTGGAAAGACACCCAGTTTGTGCAGTGTGCCTCCTGCCACCAGCGAGGAGGTCTATCTTGACCCCAGCTCAGGGTCACGTAGGAAAGAAAGACGGCCAGGCTCATGTGGGAGACACTGGGCCCTTTGGAAAAGAAGCCTTGTCGGCTGTGGGCCTCCTGAAGAATGCAGATTACCTGGAGCGGGGACTTCAGACTGACTCCGTGGATTATGGCCTGAGCCCCTGGAATACCTGCTACTATGCACCCTTCTGGAAGCACGCAGAGGGGCCTGGCTGGCAGAGCATACTACCTCATACCCCCTACCCGAGGAGCAGGCTCAGAGGGAGCCACTGTGCCCCCTTTACAGAGTAGGACTCTGAGACCCAGTGGAAGCAAAGGCTCCCCAGTGCCCTGCACAGGCTCATGGCCAGGTTGGGGCTGGCCCTCCACTTCCAGGTGCTTACAGCCTCATTGCCCGAAGACCATTGTAGGGCCCCACTTGGCCCACCCTCTCTTGGGCAGAGTGGTTGGGCGTAGTGGAGCCATAGCAGTGCATCAAGACTTGATGAAGGGCCAAGTGTTGTGGCTCACGCCTGTAATCCCAGCACTTTGGGAGGCCAAAGTGGGAGGATCACTTGAGCCCAGGAGTTCAAGACCAGCCTAGGCAACATGGCGAAACCCCGTCTCTACAAAAAATACAAAAATTAGCTGGGAGTGGTGGCACACACCTGTGGTCCCAGCTACTCAGGAGTCTGAGGTGGGAGAATCACCTGAGCCCAGGGAGGCAGAGGTTGCAGCGAGCTGAAATTGCACCACTGCACTCCAGCCTGGGTGACAGAGCAAGTCTCAAAAAAAAAAAAAAAAAAGAAGGGCTGGGCTGGCTGTGGACAAGGGGCTTCTGGGCCTGCTGGAGACAGCAGCAGGCAGGACCCTGACGAGCAGCTCTGGTTTCTCTTAGGCCCCCGATTTCTACGTGGAGATGAAGTGGGAGTTCACCAGCTGGGGTGAGTGGGGACCTCTGGGCTCCCAGGGATTTGGGGTGGGGCTTTTGGGAAGACCCCCAGTGACCCCTGTGCACCCTACAGTGCCCCTTGTGTCCAAGATGTGCCCGAGCGATGTGTACCGCGTGTGGAAGCGGGGTGAAAGCCTGCGAGTAGACACCAGCCTCCTGGGCTTCGAGCACATGACCTGGCAGCGAGGCCGGAGGAGCTTCATCTTCAAGGGCCAGGGTGAGCTCTGGACACACTCACTGCAGCATCTCGGCCCTCAGGTTCTCCCGCGGCTGGGGAGGGCAGTGCTGCCCTTTCTCTCCACTTTCCAGATGTGGAAGCTGAGGTTGGGGAAGGAGGGGGATCCAGGGGCCAAGGCTGACCCACTTGGCAGCAGGCAGCTGAGAGTACATGATCGCCCTCTCTGCGCTGCTGGCATCTAGCTCTGATTTGCACCCCTCTGTCCACCCCCGCCGGCCGGCAGAGGCAGGAGCCCTGGTGATGGAGGTGGACCATGACCGGCAGGTGGTGCATGCGGAGACGCTGGGGCTCGCTCTGCAGGAGCCCGAAGCACTGCTGGCCGCCATGCGGCCCAGCGAGGAGCATGTGGCCAGCCGCCTCACCTCTCCTATCGTCTCCACCCACCTGGACACTCGTAATGTGGCCTTTGAGAGGTCGGTCGGGGCCTGGCACACGGTGGGTGGGATGGGGACAGACAGCAAGAGCCACCCTTAATGAGGGCAGGGCGATCCTTGAAGACCCTGGTTCAGGCCTCTGGGCTCACTCACCAGGGGCTGCTCAGGGGCAGGCGGGTTGCTGCAGCCCATGTCTCACTCAGACTGCCGGGGTAGTTGGGCTCCTGTGGCCACCTTTGTAGGGAGGGGTCAGGTCAAGATGTCCCCAGTTTCTTGACTTCTGACCTCATATGCTTTCCCATTAAGACAAAGATTTAGGCTGTGGTTCACGGCAGCTATTTGCACCAATGTTGGCTTGTCATTGGTGTGGCTGTGTTGGGGGCAGGATCCTTTGTGGGTAGCCTAGGAACCTGACCCTTCCAGCAAGAGCTTCTCTGACAACATATGACCCCTCTTGCCTTAACAGTCAATGGAAACATTAAAAAAAAAAAAAGCTTTATTGAGATACAAACTCATATACCATATACATCACCCATTTAAAGCATACAGTTCAATGACTTTTAGTATATTTATTCACAGATTTGTACATCACCACAGTCAATTTTAGAACATTTTTATCACCTCACAAAGAAACCCCCCACCCTTGAGCTAACTCTTCGCCAAACTCCTCATCCCCTCTCCCAGTCCTGAGCAACCACTAATCTACTTTCTGTTTCTGTAGAATTCTCTATTCTGAGTTCTCATATGAATGGAATTTTACAGTATGTTGCCTTTTGTGTCTGGCTTCTTTCACTTAGTGTAATATATTCAAGGTTCATCCAAGTTGTAGCATGTAACTACTTCATTCCTTTTTGTGGTCATTGTATGAATATACCATATCTTGTTTATTGATTAGCCCATCAATAGACATTTGGGTTATTTGCATTATTTGGTGATTATGAATAATGCCACTCTTAAGTATTCATGTGCAAGTTTTTGTGTAGATGTATGTTTTAATTTCTCTTTCATATGTTTTCATTTCTCTTGGGTATATACCTAAGAGTAGAATTGCCAGGCTATTGATAACTCATTAATTGAGAAACTGCCAGACTGTTTACCAAAGGAGCTGTACTGGTTTACATTCCTACCAGCAGCATGTGAGGGTTCCAGTTTCTCCACATCCTCATCAGCACTTGTTATTATTCACTCATTTGTTTTCGGAATCCAGCCAGCCTAGTGGGTGAGAAGTGATAGCTCACTGTGATTTTGATTTTCCTTTCCTTGATGACTAATGATGTTGAGCATCTTTTCATGTGCTTGTGTTTATTGGTCAGTTGTATATCTTTGCAGAAATGTCTATTCAGATCCTTTACCCGTTTTTTATTTAATTTAATTAACTTATTTTGAGATGGGGTCTGGCCTTTCACCCAGGATGGAGTGCAGTGACATGATCATGGCTCATTGCAACCTCGACCTCTCAGGCTCAAGTGATCTAAGTAGCTGGAAGTACAGGTTCATGCCGCCATGCCCAGCTAATTTTTAAATATTATTTGTAATTATTTTATTATATCATTTAATTATTTTGTTTAGTTATTTGTAGAGACAGGGTCTACAGATTGATCTTGAACTCTTAGGCTCAAGCGATCTGCGTACCTTGCCCCCCAAAGTGCTGGTATTACAGGCATGAGCCACCACACCTGTCCCTTTACCCATTTTAAAAATTGGGTTGTCTTTTTGTTATTGAGTTGTAAGAGTTTTATAATTTTAGCTGTTACACTTAGGTCTTTGAGCCATTTTAAGTTGATTTTTGTGTATAGTGGAAGGTTCTCTTCCATGTGACTATCCAGTTGTCCTAGCCCCCTTTATTGAAAAGACTATGCTTTTCCCACTGAATGGTCTTGTCACCCTTGTTGAAAATCAGTTGACCATAGATAAATGGGTTACTTTCTGGCTCCCAAGTTAGTTCCATTGGTCTACATGTCTGTCTTTATGCCAATATTATACTACCTTAATCACTATTGCTTTGCAGTAAGTTTTGAAATTGGAAAGTGTGTCTTCCTACTTTGTTTTGCTTTTTCAGGGTTATGTCAATATTTTGGGACCCTTGCATTTTATATGAATTCTATTTTCTTTTTTCTCACAACCCAGTGTAGGCAGAATATATGAATTCTAGATTCAGCTTGTCAATTTCTACAGTCAGATGGGCTTCTGATAGGGATTGCACTGAATCTATAAAGCAGTTTGGGGAATAGTACCATGTAAACAATGTTAAGTCTTCTAATCCATGAACATGGGATGTTTTTCCATTTATTTGGATCTTCTTTAATTTATTTCAACATTATTTTATAGTTTTCAGAGTGTAAGCTTTGCACTTCTTTTATTACATTTATTCCCAAGTGTTTTATTCTTTTATTGTTTCTTTTTTTTGAGATGGAGTCTCACTCTATTGCCCAGGCTGGAGTGCAGTGGCATGATCTCGGCTCACTGCAACCTCCACCTCCTGAGTTCAAGCGATTCTCCTGCCTCAGCCTCCCAAGTAGCTGGGATTACAGGTGCCCACCACCACGCCCGGCTAATTTTTGCATTTTTAGTAGAGACAGGGTTTCACCGTGTCAGACCAGGCTGATCTTGAACTCCTGACCTCAGGTGATCTGCCTACCTCAGCCTCCCAAAGCGCTGGGATTACGGGTGTGAGCCACCGCGCCCGGCCACGAAGTGTTTTATTCTTTTTGATACAATTATGAATCAAATATTTTTCTTGGCCAGGCATGGTGGCTCACGCCTGTAATCCCAGCACTTTGGGAGGCCAAGGTGGGTGGATCATGAGGTCAGGAGATCAAGACCATCCTGGCTAACATGGTGAAACCCTGTCTCTACTAAAAATACAAAAAATTAGTACCTGTAGTCCCAGCCACTCAGGAGGCTGAGGCAGGAGAATAGCATGAACCTGGGAGGCGGAGCTTGCAGTGAGCCGAGATCGCACCACTGCACTTCAACCTGGGTTACAGAGCAAGACTCTGTGTCAAAAAAAAAAAGAAAAAAAGTGGTTAGAGCAGGCTGGGTGTAGGGGCTCATGCCTGTAATCCCAGAACTTTGGGAGGCTGAGGCGGCCAGATCACTTGAAGTCAGGAGTTTGAGACCAGGCTGGCTAACATGGTGAAATATCATTTCTACTAAAAATACAAAAACAAAAAAAAATTAGCCAGGCATGGTGGTGAGTGCCATAGTCCCAGCTGCTTGGGAGACTGAGGCACAAGAATTGCTTGAACCCGGGAGGCAGGAGGCAGAGGTTGCAGTGAGCCCAGATTGCACCACTGCACTCCAGCCTGGGTGACAGAGCAAGACTCCATCTAAAACAATAAATAAATAAATAAATAAATAAGAAAGAAAAGAAAAGTGGTTAGAGCAGACATCTTTTATTCTTGTCTTGTTCCTGATCTTAGGGGAAAAGCATTCAGTCTTACCATTAAGTATGATATTAGTTGTGAGTTTTCGATAGATACTCTTCATCAGGTTAAGGTAATTGCCTTCCATTCCTCGTTTTTAGAGTATTTTTTATCATAAAAGGACGTTGGATTTTGTGAAATGCTTTTTCTGTGTTTATTGATATGACCATGTGATTTTTAAAAAAATTCTATTGATACATTACATCAATTGACCTATGGATATTGAACCAACCTTGCATTCCTGTGATAAGTTCCACTTGGTTGTGGTGTATAATTCTTTTCATATGTTGCTAGATTTGGTTGCCTCGTATTTTGTTGAGGATTTTGTGTCCATATTCACAAGCAATATTGGTCTGTAGTTTTCTTGTGATATATGTCTGCTTTTGGTATCTGGGTGATGCCTCATAAACTGAAGTGGGAAATGTCACGTCTTTGTCTATTTTATCGAATAGTTTGCGAATAATTGGTATTAATTCGTCTTCAAAAGATTGGTAGGATTCAGTGGTGAAGCCATTTGGGCCTGAGCGTGTGTGTGTGTGTGTGTGTGTGTGTGTGTGTGTGTGTGTGTGTAGTTTTTTGTTGTTGTGTTTACCAGTCCGTCTCTTGACTTGTTATCCGTCTATTCAGATTATCTATTTATTCTCAAATTAGTTTTGGTGGCTTGTGCCTCACTAGGAATTTGTCCATTTCATCTAAATTATAAAATTTGTTGGTGTACAGCTATTCATTATATCCTTTTATAATGCTTTTTATTTCTGTTGCTCCTCTCTTTCATTTCTGATTCTGGTATGTAATTTTCGTCTTTTTGTTGTTGTTGTTGAGACAGAGTCTTACTCTGTCACCCAGGCTGAAGTGCAGTGGCATGATAAGAGCTTACTGCAGCCTTGAACTCCTGGGCTTAGGTGATCCTTCAGCCTCAGCTTCCCAAGTAGCTGGGACTACAGGCATGCACCACCGAGCCCAGCTAATTTTCTTTTTTTGTAGAGATGTGGTCTCACTATGTCATCCAGGCTGCTTTTGAGCTCCTGGCTTCAAACAATCCTCCTGCCTTGGCCTCCAAAAGCACTGGGATTACAGGTGTGAACCACCGCCCCCAGCCAAGTCTTCTCTCTCTTTTTTTCCCCACTGTGGTCAACCTAGCTAAAGGTTTGTCAATTTTGTTGATGTTTTCAAAGAGCCAGCTTTTGGTTTCATTAATTTTCTCTATTATTTTTCTATTCTCTATTTCGTTAATCTTTACTGTAATATTTATTATTTCTTTCTGCTCTTTCTGGTTTAGTTTGCTCTTTTTCCATTGTCTTAACGTGGAAGGTTAGGTTAAGGTTATTGATTTGAGATCTTCTTTCTTTTTTTTTTTTTGAGACGGAGTCTCGCTCTGTTGCCCAGGCTGGAGTGCAGTGGCTGGATCTCAGCTCACTGCAAGCTCCACCTCCCGGGTTTACGCCATTCTCCTGCCTCAGCCTCCCGAGTAGCTGGGACTACAGGCGCCCACCACCTCGCCCGGCTAGTTTTTTGTATTTTTTAGTAGAGACGGAGTTTCACCGGGTTAGCCAGGATGGTCTCGATCTCCTGACCTCGTGATTTGCCCGTCTCGGCCTCCCAAAGTGCTGGGATTACAGGCTTGAGCCACCGCGCCCGGCCGGTTTTCTTAATATGGTCTTGAAGAGTGTTCCGTGTGCATGTAAGAAGCGTGTGTGTGGTTGTTATTGGGTAGAGTGTTCTGACCTGTTTATAAAGTCTAGCTGTAGTATTGTTCTTAATCTTCTGGTTCTTCGTTGATCTTCTAGTTGTTCTATCCATTATTGAAAGTGGAGTACTGGAGTCTCCAACTGACATACTTTTATTTTAGCTTTTTATTATGGAAAATTTTAAGCATATATGAAAGAAGAGATAATGTACTTACTCATCACCCAGCTTCAACATTTATCAACATCTTGCCAATCTTACTGAATCTGTCCTTCCTTACCTTTTTTTAAAATTTTTCCTAGAGTATGTCAAAGCTCATCCCAGATGTCCTAATGTTTCTAGTAAATGCTTCTGCACAATTCTAAAAGATAAGGATGTTTTTAAACCCAGCCCCGACACTATCATACCTCACAAGATTCATGCTAATTCCTCAGTTTCTTCTAGTCCCAAGTCCATGCTCAAGTGTCCCCCGCTGTCCAGGCACCCTCTTCAGGGGTCCTCCATGTTTCACAGTGAGAAGGGACCCTCAGAGTTGGGCACCCCAGGCAGGCTGATTGGAGGGGGCTTTGGAAAGAAAGGCTTTGACCAGGATGTGAGGGTGCAGGTCCTCACCAGCTCCTGTTTGGTCTGTTTCAGGAACAAATGTGGTATCTGGGGCTGGCGGTCTGAGAAGATGGAAACTGTTAGCGGCTACGAGGCCAAGGCAGGAGAGGCTAGTGGTGGGGGGCTGGGGGTAGGAGATGAGGTCCAGGAACTCAGCTCCTCTCCACATCCATCCCAGAGTAGCCCTTGGGCTCTGGAAACCCTGAGCGTTTGTGGGAATTCAGCGGGCCTGAGTGCCCATCCCTTGCGGAGTACATAGGGCTCACCCACATCACGGGCCCCTACCCAGGGTACCAAGATGAAATGAGGAGCGTGTTCCTCTTGACCCTGGGGCTGCATCTCCTCGTTGATGACTTCCCAGGGTTCAAACCCTGCCATCTCCTCTATTTTGGGGAGCAAGATCTCATCTGTCTCTGGGACAGGAGGACTTGGGTTCTGCACTGGTGAGGCTGAGTGTGGGGAGCAGGCTCTGAGCCCCCAGCTCCCCGTGTCCCCTGCTCCCCAGGTGTACAGTGCCACCAACGTGGAGCTGGTGACACGCACACGCACGGAGCACCTCTCTGATCAGGACAAGTCGAGGAGCAAAGGTAAACCCAGGTGCGCCTGCCTGCTGCCTAGTCACACCATGTGGTGGGGCCACCCTGGCCTGGGGTCAGGGGCCAGAGTTTCCCGGGATGAGCTGGGAGGCCTCCCCATTCCCGTCTGCCCCCTCTTCCCCGAGACAGGAGGCTCCCAGGGTGGAGGTGGGTGGGGACAGTGCGGGCATAGTGGCCCCCTCACCGGCTCCCACCCCTTCTCCGTAGGGGGGAAGACTCCGTTCCAGTCCTTCCTGGGGATGGCCCAGCAGCACTCCTCCCACACCGGGGTGAGCCAGGGATGGGCTGAGACAGGGCCGGCGGGGGCTGAGCCTGGGCGGGAGGGCGCGCTTCATCGCCCTGATCGCTGAGTCTGCCCTGGAACCCACGCAGGCCCCTGTGCAGCAGGCAGCCAGCCCCACCAACCCCACAGCCATCTCCCCTGAGGAGTACTTCGACCCCAACTTCAGCCTGGAGTCACGGAACATTGGCCGCCCCATCGAAATGTCCAGCAAAGTACAGAGGTGAGGTCTGAGAGCGGGCTGGGGACTTGCCTCGGGACGGGGGCTCTTGCAGACCCCTCTCTGGGCCTGTTGTAGTGAGGGGCCCACTCCCTCAGCTGGCTTCTCTCTGGACTCCACTCCTGGAGGCAGGAGTCATGTCTTATCCATGGTCCTCAGCCCTTAGAAAGGGCTTGGCACAGACGACCAGTAGCTTGTCTTTGATGGATGGATGGTGCCACCCATGTATGGTTTTTTATTTAATTTCATGAGTACCTGCTGGGGCCAGCGTGGCACGGTGGGAAGGGCCCCCAGCGACATGGCCTGGGAGTGGCGCGTCCACCTTGGTGGAACAGAACAGTTATGCTTTTGCCCCGTGAGGAGCCCTGAGCAGGTGTAGGTGGTAACAGCAGGCACAGTGCCTGCACAAGCCTAGCACTCTCACCACCACCTCAGGAGGATTCTTTTAGCCACCACACAGTTGCTGGGATTCAAACCCTGACAGTCTTGCCCTGGGGTGTGCTGGACACAAAAGTTTGGCAACACGTGAGGCCAGCTCTGGGCTGAGGAGGAGAATGGGGCGATGGGCCAGGCCCAGAGAGAAGCCCGCAGCCTGGCACCTGGCCTCCTTGTCCAGACCAGATGAGCTGGTGCGAAATCCTCAGGAGCCCCAGCCTGGGCCCGGGGAGGAGGGCAGCTTGGGCCACGTGGCCAGGACACCAGCTCCCAGGGGAGGCAGGCAGTGGCATCTGAGCAGAGCAGGGCACCCCAGGCCAGGCAGAAGGTGGGTAAAGGCAGCTGCCCACAAACCAGAGGGCAGTCCTCAGTGGAAGGGCCACCAGCGGTGCCTTACGCATGTCCTGTGGTCGGCTGGGCAGGTTCAAGGCAACACTGTGGCTGAGTGAAGAGCACCCGCTCTCCCTGGGTGACCAGGTGACACCCATCATTGACCTAATGGCCATCAGCAATGCTCACTTTGCCAAGCTGCGCGACTTCATCACCCTGCGCCTTCCACCTGGCTTCCCCGTCAAGATTGGTGAGAGGCTGGGCCCAGGCAGCGGGAGGACCTCAGGCATGGCACCCTCCCCTCAGCGCAGTCCCCGGAAGGCTGCAGGGGCCGGAGGTGCAGGTGGCTGTGCACCAGGGCTCAGGTGTGGCTGTCTCCTCACAGAGATTCCCCTTTTCCACGTGCTCAACGCCCGCATCACCTTCAGCAACCTGTGTGGCTGTGATGAACCCCTGAGTTCGGTGTGGGTGCCGGCCCCCAGCTCTGCTGTCGCCGCGCCAGGTACCCCCACGGGAGGAAGAGGTGGCCTGCACAGCTCTCTGGTCACCAAGTCCTGCGGGTTGAGCGTGGCCCCTCTGCCGCCTGCCTAGGGAACCCTTTCCCGTGCGAGGTGGACCCCACCGTGTTTGAGGTGCCTGAGGGGTACAGTGTGCTGGGCACGGAGCGCAGCGAGCCCCTCCGAGATGAGGACGACGACCTCCTGCAGTTCGCCATCCAGCAGAGCCTGCTTGAAGCGGGCACCGAGGCGGAGCAGGTGGGACTTGCGCAGGGGGTGGGCTCTGGCCTCTGCAGCCACAGGGCAGAAGTGACAGCTATGGGCTCTGGTGACTGCAGGTGACCGTCTGGGAAGCCCTGACCAACACCCGGCCTGGTGCCCGCCCTCCTCCCCAGGCCACGGTTTATGAGGAACAGCTTCAGCTGGAGCGGTGAGCCCCTCATGGAGCTGGCTGGGTCCCTGTCCCCCGAGCCCGGGCTTGGCGGGGAGGAGGATAGCAGGAAGGTGCCAGGACCCCAGGCCCTCTGCAACGCCACCCTCTGTCAGCAGCACTATCTGCCACCAAAGGTGGTGTGAGGGGTGGGGAAGCAGGGCCCTGCCCTGTCTCCTCTGCCTGCCACCCTGTCTTTGCCCTTGTCCTCCAAAGCCGGTCCCCATCCCCTCGGCTTCTGCCCCAGCCTTGGCGCTCACTCTCCTGCTCTTCCCTCCCCTGTCCTCCCTGGAAGGGCCCTCCAGGAAAGCCTGCGGCTGTCCACAGAGCCCAGGGGCCCAGGATCCCCTCCCAGGACGCCCCCAGCCCCCGGCCCACCCAGCTTTGAAGAGCAACTTCGCCTGGCCCTGGAGTTGTCTTCACGGGAGCAGGAGGAGCGGGAGCGGCGCGGGCAGCAGGAGGAGGAGGACTTACAGCGGATCCTGCGGCTGTCACTCACCGAGCACTGAGCCACAGCCCCGGGAGGGCTGGCCAGGCCACTCCCTGCCCGCTTTTGTAATTTATTTATTTATAAACTCTCTGCTGCTGGGCTTGGGGCCTGGAGCCCCAGGGATGGTCGGGCAGGGGAGACAGATGGAAATAAAGAGACTGTCGCAGCAGGGCGCTCTGCTCACTGGGCTGGAGTGGTGGGGACCCTGAAGGTGGGGCGCTGTGGAGAGACACTGTGGGTGGCGGCCTCAGACCTGGGTTTGAATCCTGGCCATGGTCCCCTTAGCCTATCTGAGCCTCAGTTTCTTCAGTTGTAAAATGAGGAGACCACCCCCCACCCTCTGCCCCTCAGGGCTGAACAGAGCTGGCGAGAGTCACATGTCCTTACCAAGCAGGCGTCCTGTGACAGATCCCCTGTGCCCTGTCCTACCTGCTGGGGACCCAGTTCGTCCTGCCTCCCAGCCTGGTCTTCTGGAAACCGGCCCACGTGCCTGTTGGGGAGGGAAAGGCAGGGTCCCCAGGCCCCATTCACCTCCAGCTGGGAACAGCCCCCACACCGACCCCTGCAGCCAAGCCCAGGCCCTGGCGGTGACTGCCGCTTGTTCTCTACGGGTGGGATTGCGAAAGCCACTTCCCCCGCGTAGTTGGAAGTCCTGCCCTGCTTGCCTCCGAGGTGGACCTGAGAGCCCCTCTTGAGCTTCTGGGTTATTTGTAAACCCCGGGCCGTTTTCCCCGGAAGCCTGTTTCCCAGTGGTTCCTGTGGAGTGGGAACTAGCAGGCCGACCAGCAGGGAGAAATGTTTGGGGTGGGGGCCCTTGGCCGAGGGCGCGCCGTGCCTGATCCTCTCTAGACCTGTCCCCCACCCCCCGCCTCCGCTCTGCCTCCCTAGGACCCGCCTCTGCAGGGCACAGGACGCTGGAGGCCCAGAAGAGCTCAGGTGCTCCCGCTGGGCCGGGCCTGGCGCTTCCTGGGAGGGAGACCAAACTCCCGGCCTCCAGCTTCTGCCCTCAGGGTCTCCGGGCTCCGCACCTGCGCCCGTCCCCGGCCTCGCCCCCGACCTGTGCCCAGGGGCTGGGCGGGCCGAACCGCGGAGACGGGAGGGACGGGGCCCGGCCGCCCTGAGAAGCTCCGCGGGTCCGGCTGGGCGAGTGTCTGTCCCTTTAAGGGCCGCCCCCGAGGAGGTGCCAGGCCCGGGTGGCGCCGTCTCTCCTTCCTGGTCCTGCAGGGCCAGGACTGTCCGCGGGGTTCAGGGAGGGGGCCGTGCCCGGTGCCAGCCCAGGTGTCCCCGGCCTGGCCCCATGGCCCTGGTCACAGTGAGCCGTTCGCCCCCGGGCAGCGGCGCCTCCACGCCCGTGGGGCCCCGGGTGAGTGTGGACCGGCCGTGGTGCCGCCCACGCAGTTGCTGCCCGGACTCGGGAGCGCGTCCTGCCAGCCAGCGGGCTCCTCTCGAACGGGGGCATGAGGAGGGGGCTGCGGGGCTGGGGCTGGAGGGCGCTGGGGGCCTCGAGGGTCTCTGGTACTGGCGCCCGGGCACAATCCAGAGCCCTGCGCGCCTCCCTGGCTGCTGAGGCCCCGATCTCAGCGCTCCGCCCGCCACCCTCGGCGCCCACCCAGCCAACCTGGCCTTGGGCCAGTGCTCCACGGGGCCTCCCGGTGGGGCATGGACTGGGGTGGGAAGACGATTGGCATCTGGCGCCTTTTCTGGCCTCCCCCCACCCCAGAATTCCTGAGAGAGGGGAGAGGACAGCCCTCCCCGCCCTCACCCTCCCCTGGGGCTGATCTCTCGGCAGGACCGGGCGGTCCAGCGAAGGAGTCGACTCCAGCGAAGGTGAGCACCGCCTCCCCCACGCAGATACTTCCGTCTGCCCCGGGCCTGGCCACGGCTGTCCTGGACTCCCGGTGCAGGGACAGAAAGCTCCCCGGAGGACGCGCAGCCGAAGCCCGCTGCCAAATTTGTGGGGCAGCGTTTCCGGTGGGGCCGGCTGGTGGGCTCGCCGTAGGGCGACCTTTGCCTTTACCGTCCCCCTGGTCAGCTGGGGCTTCCTCACCCACTGCCCTGGGCTTTGGCTCAGGTGGTGGCCACGGGCCGAACGGCAGGAGGGCATGAGGGGCCTGAGGACTCCTGGGTCCCCGACCAAGTTCCCAGCAGCCCCTGAGTTAAACAGGTGGGAGGGGAAAGGGAGCAGCCCCCATCCCCTGGCAGGTGAGCAAGAGTAGAGGGGCTGAGAGTTTGGAAGCCCCCAAAACTGGTTCTCAGTTTGGTGGCAGCATTGCCAAGGGGCCAAGGGGTTAGAAATGCAGATGCTCAGGCCTCCACTCCAGACCTATCGACCGCGTGGGAGCCCATGAATCCGTGCCCATGAATCCCTGCAGACGAGGGCTGCAGGTGAATGTGAGGCATGCTAGACTTTGAGAGCCCCTACCCTAAGGGGGATGAGGGGCCATAACAGTTGCCCACTGCCCTACCAGGCAGAGCTTTGCGGTGCTCCGAGGGGCTGTCCTGGGGCTGCAGGATGGAGGGGACAATGATGATGCAGCAGAGGCCAGTCCTGAGCCAGCGGAGGAGCCCCCGAATGAGGAGGAGCCCCACGGGGACCAGACAGACTTCGGGCAAGGATCCCAGAGTTCCCAGAAACAGGAGGAGCAGAGGCGGCACCTGCACCTCATGGTGCAGCTGCTGAGGCCGCAGGATGACATCCGCCTGGTGAGGGCCCATCTGGAGCTCCAGGGGGCGGGGCAAAGAGACACACCTGAGGGCAGAATGGAGCCCTGTGTGTGTGTGTGCTTGGGGAGCAATGGTGTGAGGGCAGGGAGCAGCCTGGGGAGTGTTGGGGTTACCCATACCGCAGTAACCCTGCTGTTTCAGGCAGAGATGTTTTGGCAGGGTAAGGTCATGGCTGCAGGTCTCTGGAAGGGAAAGAACAGGGGAGGTTTGTCCTGTGTGAGCCAATAGGGCCAAATTAGGTCCAAGAGGTGGGAATTCCAGAGGTATGTTTCTCCTCAACCAGTAGAAGACTTTCCTGATGACATGAGCTGTCCCTAAACGGACCAGTTCACAAGGCAGGCTTGCTGGACACCCACTGGGGGTGGGTGTGCTGGAGGGACCGGGGCAGAGGGGAGGAGGATTCCAGCCCCATGGAGGAAGGGAGTCCAGGTGGAGCCGGAGCACTGGTGTTCAAATGCTTGTGGAGACAGCTCACCGTCCTCCGCAAGACATGGCAAACAGGATGCAGTGAATCTTCTGTAAAACTGAATTTACGACAGAAATATCATCCCCTATTGTGAGATTTTGTCCTTAGTATTTCTTTGGTGATAAACATTTCTCAAATGAAATGATAGCAATGGCAAGTGACAGGGTTTAAAAAACAAAAACAAAAAACCTCCTTCTTGCTGGGCATGGTGGCTCATGCCTGTAATCCCAGCACTTTGGGAGGCTGAGAAGGGAGGACTGCCTGAGCCCAGGAGTTCAAGACCAGCCCAAGAAACATAGGGAGACCTCATCTCAATAAAAAAACTTAAAAATGAGCCAGGTATGGTACATAGGCCTGAGGTCCCAGCAACTTGGGAGGCTGAAGCGGGAGGATCATGTGAGCCTGGAGTTTGGGGCTGCAGTGAGCTGTGCTGGTGCCACTGTACTCCAGCCTGGGCAACAGAGTGAGACCCTGTCTCAAAACAAAAACAAAAACAACCTCCTCCCTCAGCAGAAACAAAAAATGTGCAACCTGTGTCAGTCCCATTCCCCACTTTTTTCCACACAGTCCCTCCTTACCCACTGATTTTACATCGGGGAAGAAGGGGGATGGGAGAGGAAGGAGCAGTGTCAGCGCTGTTCTGGGCCTGGGGTGTCTAGGTGGGGAGCAGGGTCCTTGGGGCCACTTTGACCCTGGGCTCCTCATCTCTCCCAGGCAGCCCAGCTGGAGGCAGCCCGGCCTCCCCGGCTCCGCTACCTGCTGGTAGTTTCTACAGAAGAAGGAGAAGGTCTAAGCCAGGATGAGACCGTCCTCCTGGGTGTGGATTTCCCTGACAGCAGGTTCGAGCAGGGAGAGGAAAGGAGGGGCAAAGAGGTGAGGGACAGGGGGGACAATGGCTTTCCCTCTGTCTCCTGCCAGCTCCCCCAGCTGCACCCTGGGCCTGGTCTTGCCTCTCTGGAGTGACACCCAGGTGTACTTAGATGGAGACGGGTAAGCAGTGGCAACTGGAGGTCGGGGGGCAAGAGGGTGGAATAACTGAGTGTGACAGATGTGACGGGGCCTGGGCACCGGGGTACAGTAGAACTTTAGGTTGGGACTCTGGGGACTGCTCCCAGCTCCATGTCAGATTCACTGTGATCCTGAGCAAGGCACCTGACTCCTGGGCCTTGGCTGTATCCAGCAAAAGGACAGGTTCTCTGTCGCAAAACCTGGAGTCCGGCCTCACCTGCGCCTGGTCTCCTGCAGGGGCTTCAGCGTGACGTCTGGTGGGCAGAGCCGGCTCTTCAAGCCCATCTCCATCCAGACCATGTGGTAAGGACAGAGGCTGCCTGGACTCAGGCCAGCCTCTCCTTCGAAGGAGGCTGCAGGGCCTGGGGAAGGGCAGCAAGGGAACAGTGTGACCCAGCCTCTCCTCCTGTCTCAGGGCCACACTCCAGGTATTGCACCAAGCATGTGAGGCAGCTCTAGGCAGCAGCCTTGTACCAGGTGGCAGTGCCCTCACCTGGGCCAGCCACTACCAGGAGAGACTGAACTCCGACCAGAGCTGCCTCAATGAGTGGACGGCTATGGCCGACTTGGAGTCTCTGCGGCCTCCCAGTGTCGAGCCTGGCCGGTCAGTGTGGGGAGGGGAGGGCCTGGGTGGACGGGGAAGGCAGGATAAGGCAGTGGGAGGCATGGCGGAGAGGGGAAGGGGCCCCTTGACTGAAGGGCTTTGCTCCCAGGCCCTCAGAACAGGAGCAGATGGAGCAGGCGATCCGTGCTGAGCTGTGGAAAGTGTTGGATGCCAGTGACCTGGAAAGCGTTACTTCCAAGGAGGTAGGTAGGGGGCCCGGGGAACGAGTCCCCTCCAGCAGGGGCCGCGAGCTTGCCTTTCCTGGGAGCCCTCCCCACCTTGCCTGTCTCCAGTCCTGAGCCATTCCTGGATGCCTTGGCCTTGGCCCTAATGCATCTAGATGGGACACGATGCTGTCCTCAGAGGCCCCAGAGGGAAGGTGGCGGGTCAGGCACTAGGAGAGCTCCAGCCTCTCTTGCCCTGGGCTCTGCCTGCAGATCCGCCAGGCACTGGAGCTGCGCCTAGGGCTCCCCCTCCAGCAGTACCGTGACTTCATTGACAACCAGATGCTGCTGCTGGTGGCACAGCGGGACCGAGCCTCCCGCATCTTCCCCCACCTCTACCTGGTGAGCTGCAGCCGGGCCTGGGCCTTGGGGACCGCTGGCAGCTGCGAGGGTGGGGGCCAGGAGCAGAGGCTGGAGGAAAGGGGGAATGTGCTGTTCGCTGTCTCCCAGGGCTCCGAGTGGAACGCAGCAAACCTGGAGGAGCTGCAGAGGAACAGGTAGGGCTATGAGCCCCTTGGGCTGCCCACCCCATCTTCCGTTCTCCTGGCCTCCCTGCATTCGGTGGTAGCCAGCTTCAAAAACCCCTGGACCACCCTCAGCAGCTGCCAGCTCTGCTTCTAACTCTGTTCTGGGGCTGTTGCCCTGGTGTGGGCTCCCAGGTGGGGACAGGAGACCCACTGGCCAGCCCCCGCCCAGTCTCCTCCCTTCCCCGCACTGTGAAACAAGGACAGAAACAAAGGGCCTCAGCCACGCCAAGACGAGAAGCAGCAGAGCCTACTGCTGTAACTGCCTTGGACAAGCAGAAAAAGGTTCCTCTTGCGTGTGTCTGTGGTCCCAGCTACTCGGGAGGCTGCGGCAGGAGGACTGCTTGAGCCCTGGAGATTGAGGCCGCAGTGAGCCATGATCATGCCACTGCACTCCAGCCTGGGCAACAGAGAGAGACCCTGTCTCTAAAAAATAGGAAAAAAGAAAGAAAGAAAAAGCCTCTTTTCCACCTTGCCCTGTCTCAGGGAAGAAGGAACTGCCCTTCTCCCCATGGGGACCTGGCTGCCTGCTCTGACAGGTACCTGTCATCTGCCCACCAGGGGCTTCTGGGAGACCTGCTGTAGCCCCTGTCACCCCCTGCTGCAGACCCACCCACTTTCAGCTTAGGTCAAAAGCTGTTTTCTAACTCATTTCCAAGAATAACGGAAGGGCTGGAGTTGCAGTTGAGCCAGCTGTCTGAACCAGATGAGGAAACAAGCCCAGCAGGGTAAAATGATTGGTCCAAGGTTGCAGCCATCTGACAGCTGGGTCACTTCTCCTCCCACTATAACTGCTGCCTCCATGTGACTTGAAACTTAGAGCTAAAGAGAGGCCCAGGGGCTGCCAGGTCTGATGGCCAATGGGCCTGGTGCCTCTGCCCACGTCAGCCTGGCCTTGGGCTTCTGGGACAGGGTCACCCACATCTTGAACATGGCCCGGGAGATTGACAACTTCTACCCTGAGCGCTTCACCTACCACAATGTGCGCCTCTGGGATGAGGAGTCGGCCCAGTTGCTGCCGCACTGGAAGGAGACGCACCGCTTCATTGAGGCTGCAAGGTCGGTCTCTAGGCTTTGCTGCCTGCCCCACTGTGGCTTCAAGCGGCCCCCAGTGCCCTCCTCCTGCCCACTCTGCCATCAGCTGTGCCATTCCTTCCAGCCCTCAGTGTCCTTCGCTCCTTCTCCTCTACTCTCAGTTGGTTGTGAGCCCTTTACTGGCCCTCCCCTGCAGGAGGTGGGTCCTTCATGGTGAGGGGAGGGTGCTGAACCTGGCCCGCTTCCACAGAGCACAGGGCACCCGCGTGCTAGTCCACTGCAAGATGGGCGTCAGCCGCTCAGCGGCCACAGTGCTGGCCTATGCCATGAAGCAGTATGAATGCAGCCTGGAGCAGGCCCTGCGCCATGTGCAGGAGCTCCGGCCCATTGCCCGCCCCAACCCCGGCTTCCTGCGCCAGCTGCAGATCTACCAGGGCATCCTGACTGCCAGGTATGGGATGGGAGTGAGTGGAAGGGGGTGAGTAGGTGAGTTTGCTGGGGGTGGCTGCTGGGTCACTCAGAGCTGACTCAGGGCCACCTCCTCACAGCCGCCAGAGCCATGTCTGGGAGCAGAAAGTGGGTGGGGTCTCCCCAGAGGAGCGCCCAGCCCCTGAAGTCTCTACACCATTCCCACCTCTTCCGCCAGAACCTGGGGGTGGTGGGGAGGAGAAGGTTGTGGGCATGGAGGAGAGCCAGGCAGCCCCAAAAGAAGAACCTGGGCCACGGCCACGTATCAACCTCCGAGGGGTCATGAGGTCCATCAGTCTTCTGGAACCCTCCTTGGAGCTGGAGAGCACCTCAGAGGCCAGTGACATGCCAGAGGTGAGGCTGGGGCTGGGGGAGCTCAGCTTGCAGGGGTGGGGGCCATAAGGAGGGAGATGGGGAAAGACCAGGATGGGCATTTGACTGTAGACCTGAGCAGGGCGTACCCCAGCTAAGTCTGGCCCACCCATGCAGGGTGTCCTGGTAGGACCCAGGGGGCCTGGTTCCAGCCTCCTTCACAGTCAGTCCAGTACCTCTTAGTACCCAGTGTCTCCAGCCTGTCCCATGAATACCCCTGAAGACGGGGACCAGCCACATCCTGGGCCCCTGAGAACAGCTGAGACCCAGTGAAGGCACGTGGGGGCGCTGTAGGCACAGGCTGGAGAGGGGTCATGGGGGCAGGGCGGAAGCAGCACCTGTTTCCAGGGCTCCTGGGTGAGCCAGCCCCGGCCGGGGTCACCAGCAGGTTCCAGCCAGACTACAAGACTTAACTGTCTAAGGGACAGAGCTCCCTCCCCAGGCCATGAGCTCCACAGGCCCCTGCCGGCCCTGGGGGCGATCTCTAACCCCATGGTGGGGAGGCTAAGGTAATCTCTGAAGCCCCTCCTGGGTCTGAGGAGCAGGACCTCAAAGGATGGGGTGGGGAGGAGAGTGCACACTCACACCGCCCAAGTCCTGCCTAAGTGAGCACCCTCAATGCCAAGTGCTGCGGGCACAAGCCTAAAACTGGGAGCCAGGCCCTGTATGGGACTCAAGGTCAAATGGCTGACTTGGAGGAAGGAGTGTCCACTGAGGGCAGGAACATTTGGAAGAGGCTTCCTGGAGGAGGTGTGGATGGGGAAGGATAGGGAGGCGTGGCGGGTTGATGGGCGGGTGTGGGCATTGCGAAAGGCAGGAGGTCCTCACCCAGCACTGGACACACGCATCCACCCAGCCCAGGTCAGGGGCTAGTGCCAGCACGGGTTTCACCTGCCGGCTGCCTGTGCAAAGCCAGAGGAAGGATAGGAGGGGCGGAGGGCAGGGAGGCCTGGGTCTCCAGAGAGCTGAGGAGGGCTTCTGGGGGCCAGAAGGAAGCTACGAGCAGGTAGGGTTCAAGCAGCAGGCAGCAGGGCTGGGGTGTTGCCCTCCCTGCTGGGGAAGCATGGCTGTGGACAGCTTGGCTTTTGACTTGGGTGCCACAAACATTCCGGCCCTCGCCTCCTCCCGGCTCTGTGCTTGGCGCCCCTGCCCCAGATCTTCCTGGCTCTGCTTGGGTGCCCCATGGCTTCTATGTCCTCACACCTGTCCAGGTTTTCTCTTCCCATGAGTCTTCACATGAAGAGCCTCCACAGCCCTTCCCACAGCTCGCAAGGACCAAGGGAAGCCAGCAGGTGGGCAAGGGGCCTCAGCCTGCCCTGAAGTCCTGCCAGTCAATGGTTGCCCTCCAGGGCAGTACCCTGGTGGCCAACCAGACCCGGGCCTTCCAGGAGCAGGAGCAGGGGCAAGGGCGGGGAGAGCCCTGCGTTTCCTCTACGCCCAGGTTCCGGAAGGTGGTGAGGCAGGCGAGCGTGGACGACAGCGGAGAGGAGGGTGAGGCCTGAGCCCTCACACATGCCCACGTTCCCCTAGACACTAAATAGAGGATCCACAACTCTTTGGAGAAACACCCTCACGTCTGTCGCTGCACACATTCTTCTCAGCTCCGCCCCACACCCCTGTCACTACAGCCTCACCTCCTACAGCCTTAAGTCCCAGACCCATGTCCACCTGTCCAAGGGCTCGAGACTTTCTACTGGGATGTGGTAGAGGGATTGAAGGTGCCTTTGGGGCCAATAGCACCCTAGTTTCATTCTCAGCTCTTGCCCTGAACACTCACCTGTGTTACAGAATAAAAACAGAATTTCCAGCACAAAAAGGCTCCTGCCTCTCCCCACCCCGCCCTCCCTGCACCTCCTATCCTCTCCCAGTTCATTCCTGGACTCAGTCAGGCCAGGGAACCAGTGGCCCCAAAGGCAGGCAGATCCTCAGGCCCCAGCTGTGGGAGGCTGGAAGGGCTGGCAGGTCGCTTCCCTCGTCCACCTCAACCGGTCCAGGTCTTTGCTGCTGTCCCCAGACCTCCTGTGACACCGCACCAGATTACAGGGCGCCAGGCCAGAGAATCTCTTCTGTTTGTCCTTTGTGGCCTCTGGCTAGTCAGTTTTTCATAGCCTTATAGTATCTGACTTTGTATTGAGAAATAAAACACATTTTCATATTCGGTTATTTTCAATGTGACAATGAAGCTGTCTGTGTTGCAGTCAGACCCTTCTCTGCTGGCCGGGGAAGGTGGCCGCCGCTTCCTCCCAGCAGTCTCCTCACAATTCCCAGGTGGCTGGTGACAGATCTATTTGGGGGAGTGCCGTGTTTGGGCGTGGCGCGGGAGGAAGATTGGGTAAGAGAAGAGAGGAGGTCAGTGCTATCTCCCCATCTCCTGGGGCAGGGCCTGGTACATGTGACCTGCTCACACCCGCTCAGGCAGGTCGGGCAAGGGAACAAGTCCTCACCGGGCAGCAGGCATGGGTTACTCATGAGGAAGTGCCTACCTGGACAAGACCAAGCCTGTTCCAAAAGCAAAGACTCCTTTGGACACTTGATGCCAGTTCTATGGCATATTTTGGGTCCCAAGAATCATCTTCCTCCTGCTACAATGCAAAAGGGCCTGATTTTCCAAGCCAGCCTATTGCTGCCTGGGAAGAAGGACCCTTGGTGGCCCTTCCCCTCCTGCCCAGGGGTTCCTTCTGCTCAACTTTAATGTCCAAGAAGAGTTAGTCGTTCCATCTGTTTTTTCCTTTTTTGAGACAGAGTCTTTTTCTGTTGCCCAGGCTGGAGTGCAGTGGGGCGATCATGCCTCCGTGCAGCCTTGAATTCCCAGGCTCAAGCGACCCTCTCACTTCAGCCTCCTGAGTAGCTAGGACCACAGGCACGCGCCACCACACCTAGCTAACTGGCTATATCTTTGTCACTTCTTTTGTGGTTTTTTTGTTTGTTTGTTTTTTGAGACAGGGTCTTGCTCTGTCACCCAGAATAGAGTGCAGTGATATGATCTTGGCTTTCTACAGCCTCAACCTCCCGGGCTCAAGCGATCCTCCTGCATCAGCCCGGAGTAGCTGGGACTACCTGCACATGCCATCATGCCCAGCTAATTTTTCTTTTTTTTTTTTTTTGTAGAGACGGGGTTTTACCATGTTGCCCAGGCTGTTCTCGAACTCCTGGGCTCAAGCGATCCACACATCTCGACCTCTCAAAGTGTGGGATTACAGGCATGAGCCACTGCGCCTGGCCCATCTTTGTCACTTCTATCCCTCTTCCCAAGATTATGTATGCTCTCTGCTCTATAATACACAACACTGGTTTGGGGAAGGGGCCAGATTCAACTCCTTCCCTCAAAGCAGTCCTCAGAGATGGGAGCTGGCACCAAGCATTCTCAGTGACTGAGACTTCACACCCAGTTTTAAGAATGAATCTCTCACCCGGGCCCTGGTGGGACTCCCAGCACTGCTCTAACCCTGAAGTGCCCAGTGGCAGGACACTCAGATTTAGCCCCAGCTTCACCACTTATGAATTACTTTGCTTTGAGTCTCTGTTTCTTTCTGTAAAACAACGGGATTAGACCTGGAAATCCCTAAGTACCCCTCTACATTTTGATGCATTTTATTTTATTTATTATTTAATTTTATTTTTGAGACCGGGTCACTATTCATCAATAAATGACCACTTAACTGATGGATTCCATCAAATAGAACATGTGCTTTTTTGTTGTTGTTGTTTTTTTTGAGACGGAGTCTCGCTCTGTCGCCCAGGCTGGAGTGCAGTGGCCGGATCTCAGCTCACTGCAAGCTCTGCTTCCTGGGTTTACGCCATTCTCCTGTCTCAGTCTCCCGAGTAGCTGGGATTACAGGCGCCCGCCACCTCGCCCGGCTAGTTTTTTGTATTTTTTAGTAGAGACGGGGTTTCACTGGGTTAGCCAGGATGGTCTCGATCTCCTGACCTTGTGATCCACCCGTCTCGGCCTCCCAAAGTGCTGGGATTACAGGCTTGAGCCACCGTGCCCGGCCGGAGGAAGGTCTTTCTGAAAGTGGGGGGGAACAGTAGAGCCCTGCCTTGGGGCAGGGGAAAGGAGGGCAGAATGTCAAGAGGTTGTTTCCTGTGGCCTGCTCCTGAGGCCTGACACACTCAACATTAGAACAAAAGACTGAAGAAGGGCTATGAGGATGATGAGCCGGGAGCCCTGGACGAAAACCAATGTATGTATAACACCATGGTACCGATGCAGAACTCGGTGATATGAACAAATTTTCAAAGTATAGAAAAGTATGTTAACATGCTGTTGTCTGTATTTAAAAATATACCGATACCAATATATTTGATTACATAAGCATGGGGTACCTGGAGTGCCTCAAAAGGCAGCTGGTAACAAATCATTGCCTGAGTAGACGTGAAGGACTGGAGGACAGAGTAGGAGCGAGATTTACTTTTCATTTTATATCCTTCTTTATTATTTTTTGCCCCTCTAGCAATTTGTGTGAGCTTTGTGTATACACAGGGTTCCTTTTTTTTTTTGGAGACAGAGTCTCGCTCTGTCTTCCAAGCTGGAGTGCAATGGTGCAATCTTGGCTCATTGCGACCTCTGTCTCCCAGGTTCAAGCAATTCTCCTGCCTCAGGCTTCCAAAGAGCTGGGATTATAAGCGCGCGCCACGATGCGCAGCTAATTTTGTATTTTTAGTAGAGACAGCATTTTGCCATATTGGCCAGGCTGGTCTCGAACTCCTGACCTCAGGTGATCCAACCACCTTAGTTAGCCTCCCCAAAGTACTGGAATTACAGGCATAAGCCACTGCACCCAACCCATAGGATTCTTAATTTTTGTAGGTTTTGTTTTGTTTTGTAGAGATGGGGTTTCACTATATTGCCCAGGCTGGTCTCGAACTCCTGGGCTCAAGCAATCCGCCTGCCTCAGCCTCCCAAAGTGCTGGGATTACAGGCATGAGCCACCACACTTGGTGCCCTCTTGTCTGTATTTTTGATGCAGTTTCCCCTCCAGTCTTCATTTCCCTGATTGCTGACTTCTGACTTCTTAGAATCCTCTTGGATTCTAGTGGATCCCACAGCTAGTGAGCCCCACAGCTCTGAGTTCCTGATCAGACCTGCCTTCTGAGATGCACAGGCTGCAGGAGGGCAGGGCCTGGCCCTGGCTTCCCCCGACACTCTCACCACCACCCACCCATCTGCAGCCCTAGGTTAGGAATACTGAAAGGGCAGCCTGGGTAGGACTCCTAGTTGGCCACAGAATGGGGGGTAGCCCCCAGTGTTTGCTCAGCAGAATGGATCAGGAATCAGAACTAGCTTCCCTGTACCCCACATCTTGTGGCCCTTAGGCATACCACCCAGATAGGTGCCAAGGATTCCTCTTCTGGAAGGGAGGTAGAGGCTAAATTCTGGCAATGTCTAGATAGCATGTATTGTTAAAATGTATCAAAGTGTAGCCAGGCATGGTGGCCCTGTAGTCCCAGCTACTCAGGAGGCTGAGGTGGGATGTCTTGAGCCTGGGAGGCAGAGGTTGCAGTGAGCCGAGATCACCCCACTGTACTCCAACCTGGGTGACAGAGCGAGACTCTGTCTCAGGAGGGAAAAAAAAAAAAAAAAAAGCCCCCCTGTATATACTTTTTTTTTTTTTGAGACAGAGTCTCACTCTGTCGCCTGGGCTGGAGTGCAGTGGCGCCATCTTGGCTCACTGCAACCTCCGTCTCCCGGGTTCAAGCGATTCTCCTGCCTCAGCCTCCTAAGTAACGGGGATTACAAGCGCCCGTCACTACATCCAGCTAATTTTTTGTATTTTCAGTAGAGACGGGGTTTCACTGTGTTGGCCAGATTGGTCTCGAACTCCTGACCTCGTGATTCACCTGCCTCAGCCTGTGCTGGAATTACAGGCGTGAGCCACCGCGCCCGGCCTGTATATACTTTTTCATGCACACATGATCATTAAATCTGTAGGATAAAACTTCTAGAATTCTTGAAGCAAAGGCTTTCTTTCCAAGAAAGTGCACCAATTTATAGTGAATGGCAATGCCTGTGTCCTTAACGGACTACCCAGCCTACACATCAATGTCATCATCTTGCAACACTCCCAGAGGGAGAAAGGGCAGGCATTATGATTACCACCGTTTTTAAGCAATTAATTAATTAATTACTTTTTTGAGACAGAGTCCCACTCTGTGGCCCAGACTGGAGTGCAGCGGCACGATCTTGGCTCACTGCAACTTCCGCCTGCCTCCTAGGTTCAAGTGATTCTCATGTCTCACCCTCCTGAGTAGCTGGGATCACAGGCATGTGTCACGACGCCGGCTAATTTTTGTATTTTTAGTAGAGGACGGGGGGTCTCACCATGTTGGCCAGGCTGATCTCGAACTCCTGACCTCCGCTGCTCCACCCCCTTCGGTCTCCCAAAGTGCTGGGATTACAGGCGTGAGCCGCCGCACCCGGCCCAATACCATCGTTTTCTAGAAATGAGTAAACTGAGGCTCAGAGAAGTAACTACTTAGTCTAACAGAGCCGGAATCAGATCCTGGGTTTCTAGATTCTCATTCCAAGAGCCTAACTCGGCAGTGGGGAAGGTGGCTCCTGGGCAGTCAACTGACTGCACAGTTCCGCCCAAGGCGGGACCTGGATCTAGAAGTGCTCGGAGCTCTCGGGTGGGAGGATCAGGATGACTGCTGCTCCCGGAGCCAGCTTTCAACTCCCACCCCGCACAGGAGCCTCAGCAGCGCGAGGCGTCGCCCAGACCAGACCTGGAACCCTTGCAGCACGACCGCCGCGCGCTTCCCTCCGGATCCAGCTCCCACCGTCAGAGCGTCCTCCCTCCGCCGCGCCCCGCTCAGCCCAGGCTGGGGCGGGGCCTCGGAAGCGGTCGCCCTCGCCCCGGACAGGGCGGTCCCTCGTTAGGCCAAGTTTTCAAACGGCAAAATCAACCGCACGGAAGAGACTCTGCCTTCTTTTCACTCCGCATCCCAGACGCCTCAGAGAAACTGCCTTTCAGACCTTCGCGGCCTCTCCTGTGCCCGCAGCGCCCGGGAGCTGGGGACCCGGGTTAGCCACATCGACCGCAACGTTCGCGCGCCACCTTGTGTCCGTTCCTTTAGCTTCCAGGGACAACCCGGAAACCACATTTCCCAGCGTGCCTAGCGCCTCTGCGCAGGCGCAAATAGTTTTCCCTCGTTGCCATGGGAACCTCGCCCCTTCTAGAGTCCCGGCCGCTTGACTCAGCGAGGCGCGGTGTGGTTTTTTCCTGAGGTACTCTGGGGCTGGGACCTGGTCTGCAGAAGGTCCAGGGGGCGGCGTAGGGGGATTGAGGAGAGGAGACCAAGCCGGCCTTGCCTCCGGGACCAGCGCTTCCAAATAATCTGGGGCGTCCCGGCGTGCACACGCTCCTGAGGCCTTGCCGTTCTGAGGAAAGGGGCTGGCGAGGCGACCAGGGTCCGCGATGCCGGGGTCCGGCTGTGGCCCGCGAAGGCCCGCTCGCCCGCCCCGGCGTCTTGTCACCGCGAGCCGAGGGCCTTTGCGCGGCCGACAGGTACTCCCGGGAGCTGGCAGCCCACGGGGAGGGTTCGCGGCGCAGGTGAACGCGGAGGTAGAATCAGACAGGGCGGTGAGTGCGCCCGGGGCTGGATCTGGCTCAGCCGCTGGTGGATTCGGAACCCGGGAGGCCCCCAGGCCCTGTGGGCTTCGGTTCCCCCGCTCTGTAAAATGAGGCTTGGACTGGAATTCTAGTGCCCATTGCGATTCCGTTGCAGAGCCGCCCCTGGCTCTGTGTGACCTACGAGTTCCTTCTTCCGTAAAATAAGGAGGCTGAAACGGATGATCCCTAACGTCTCTTCCGACGGTGCAGTATGTTACACACTGCTGGCTCCATTGCCCCTTATTGCACCCCAAGTGCAAGAAGAAAGAAAGGAACCTGGGATGATCTGAGCAAGACTCTCAGCTTGGGATCTAGAGTCAGAGAAACTTGGGTTTGTGACTTTGGACAAACTTATTACATCTCTTGAGACTCAGCTGCTTCATTTGCAAGATTGGGGATAATGTTAATACTACCTCCGGTTTTTGAGGATTAAATGAGATGACACATGTAAGTTTTTAGCCCAGGGACTGCATAGAGGAAGTGCTATCCCAGGTCCCAGCTATCGTTTCTGACAATTTCTACAACAGTCCCTAGCCACCATAAGACCTTTTCTTAATTTTTGAATTCACTTTATTTCTGGGCAAGTTCATTCTCCTAGGAAGGACGGTTTTTTGTTTTTTGGTTTTTGTTCGTTTGTTTGTTTTGAGACAGTGTCTCACTGTCACCCAGGCTGGAGTGCAGTGGTGTGATCTCTGCTCACCCCAACCTCCTCCTCCTGGGTTCAAGCGATTATCGTGCCTCAGCCTCCTGAGTAACTGGGACTACAGGCGTGTGCCATTACTCCCGGATAATTTTTGTATTTTTTGGTAGAGATGGGGTTTCTCCCCATGTTGGCCAGGCTGGTCTCAAACTCCTGGTCTCAAACTCCTAGCCTCAAGAGATCTGCCCACCTCGGCCTCCCAAAGTGTTGGGATTACAGGCGTGAGCCACCACACCTGGCTAGGCAGGATGGTTTTGTAGGCTGATTTTGATGGGGAAACCTGAGTCTTTTTACCCAAGGTTGGATGCTCAAGGCCAGCGTATTGCCTCCATTCAGCTGTAGGCTGAATTATAGCGTTACCACACAGCATTTAGGGAGGATGCAGGCTTAATGCCACATAGCAGGGTAGACACTTAAGGTTCATAGAGGATATGAGTACTTACATGTTATGATGCAAAAGCAGCTGAATATAGAATTATGTGTTTACATAAGACTGGTTACTTTCATGGTTATAAGGAATGCATAAGAATTCTATGCTGCTTGCATTGAGTTCAAGCTTTGTGTTAATTGAGAAAATTGTAACAAGGAGTTTTAAATTAATGAAAAAAGTATATATTTTAAAAATCTGGGAACATCCAATAATTTCACAAACAAGCCTTCATTCGTCCAACAAACATCTTGTCTCACTTTGTCTTCCAGGCTGGAGGGCAGTGGTGTGATCTCGGCTCACTGCACCCTCTGCCTCCTGGGTTCAAGCGATTCTTCTGCCTCAGCCTCTCAAGTAGCTGAAATTACAGGCACACTACAGGCACACACCACCATGCCTGGCTAATTTTTGTATTTTTAGGAGAAGTGGGGTTTCACCATGTTGATCAGGCTGGTCTTGAACTCCTGACCTCAGGTGATCTGCCCACCTCAGCCTCCCAAAATGCTGGGATTGGCCGGGCACGGTGGCTCAAGCCTGTAATCCCAGCACTTTGGGAGGCTGAGACGGGCGGATCACGAGGTCAGGAGATCAAGGCCGTCCTGGCTAACACGGTGAAACCTCTTGTCTCTACTAAAAAATACAAAAAAAAACTAGCCGTGTGTGGTGGTGGGCGCCTGTAGTCCCAGCTACTCGGGAGGCTGAGGCACGAGAATGGCGTGAACCCGGGAGGCGGAGCTTGCAATGAGCTGAGATCGCTCCGCTGCACTCCAGCCTAGGCGACGCAGTGAGACTCCGTCTCAAAAAAAAAAAAAAAAAAAAAAAAAATGCTGGGATTACAGGTGTGAGCCACCATGCTTGGCTTTCCATGAATATTTTTTGAGCACCTACTGTGTACATGGAACTGTGCAGGGTGCTCTGAGGGATATGAAGATGTAAAAGACACTTTCTCTGCTCTCAGGAAATACAGTCTAGTAGAGAAGATCAATTATGCATTAAAAACATAAAATTCAAGTAGAAAGTGATGTGTCATAGAGAGGCCCAGGTTACTGCTCTGAAGATTCAGAGGCAGGAGACATCGCTGCCGAGTCACACTGTATAATGAGAGAATCAAAAAGACAGCATTTGAAACTCCTAAAGCATGTAAACAATGTAGATATGCCAAGAAGTAGGCAAAAGATATTCCGGGCACCCATTCCATAACTTTGAGATACATGAAGGAGAGCTGTCTGTAGCCCTGATTAAATGGTGAGCTTCTGGGAGGCAGGGAGTAGATTTTGGTCAGTGTTTTCCTCCCCTGATTGGCACATGGTTGCCATGGTAAATATTAGCGAATGAGTAGGGGCTACGAGTTTCGTGTGGAGAGGAATGGAGCTGTGGTCTCTATATTACCCTGAAGCTCTTTGATTAGACTCACATGCTGTCTCAGAGCCATTCTTCTAGGGGAAAGAGGCGAATCGGCAGATGATTATGGGGCAAGGGCCATATTGTTGGCATCTTTAGTGCAGTACCAGCTGAGAGCCCAGGGAACAAGGTCTCATCAGTGGATAAGGGGTTTGTGAGCCTGTTTCCCTGGAACCGAGGTGAAGAACCATGAGGGAAGGAAACGGAAGCATAGGACCATGCAGCAGTCCTCAGACCAGTGACGGACACTCCCTTGACTCTCTGTGTCCATTCTTGGCTTTTCTTTTTCTATGGCCCACTCCTTCCTAGGGAGATTTCTCTCCCATCTGTGACCCAGTTGGTAGTGGGAAACTGTGTCCACCATGCCAGCAGATTGCCAAGACCTGCCGCTGCTGCACAGGAAGGAAGCTGGCTTCAGCACACCATCTTCAGGCTGACTTCCAGGGCCCTGCACTTTTCCAGTTCTGTCCAGGGCTGAACCTGCACTAGGAGCTAACCTTGAAGGAGACCCCTTCGAGACAGGTGTTTAATGGCCTGTGGAGGGGAGAACGACCTCAGGAGCTGGGATAGCAAAAGTAGAAAAGATTGAAAGGAGAATGGCCTGAGGACAGGGCAAATCCTCCCAAGTCCTGTTTAATTCATCCAAGGTCTAGATTCCCACTGGAATCTTCTGTTGCTCAGAAGGTGGAGTCATCCTCAGAAAAAGGAAGCTGGGGAGAGATTAAGCAGATGCAACCAGACAGGGGATAGAGCACAACTGACTGTCTTTTTTGTCCCTAGATATGGGATGTTGGAGGACATCTGGGGACCACAAATACTCCTTCTCCTGGAGATGCAACTCAAGGTGAGCCTTTATACCATCGTTCTGGCAACCCGTGCTCCCTCTCCAGAGAATGGTTCTTCCTTTTCATCCTTCTTTCCCACTTTACTCCCGCTCCACGGGCCACAGGTAAGGGCCTGCAGGGTGTATCAGGATTTCCTTATAGCTAAGTGCCATGTGAAGCCTGAGTAGCTCCAGGCCTGGTACTTGATAAGAGGTTATGACAGCCCAGAGCCTGCCATGGAGGCCTCTGTCTGCCTACTTCAAGGGCGTTATGGTCCTATGCAATTTACTAAGCACTGGCACTTACATGTGATCTCATTTAATCTCAACAGCTGTAAGGTCTTGTATTGTGACTTTCACTTTTCCACGTGAGGGATCTGATTTCTTAGGTTGTAGGTCAAAGAACTAAATGATACCACTGAGAGCAGTGATCTTTCCACCGCCTCCATAATCACTGACAGGGTGCCATCTGTCTGCTAGTGAGAACACGGTCCTAGGTTAACCTGAAACCTGAAACTAGGCCAAGACTCTCCTTTTTTCCCATTTCAGCTAGAATTTCCTGCCCATTTTCCTCAGTGTCCTATCCCAGCACAGCTTCTCTGTGTCATTGGACACGTTTGATCTGAGTTTCTCGCTCTCATGCCCTCAGTACATGCTGACTTGTTCTCAGGGCAGCAGGTCCCATCAGAGAGCTTGTGCTCTTCCCCTTGACTCTGCCAGGTGCACCCTCTCCCAGGTAGGCACCCTGGGTAGCTGTGAGACTTTAGGGGATTCTGTATCTGGGTTAGAGCACCAGGAATAGGAAAACTGTTCCCCTGCTGGGTGGGGAAGGAAGTTAGCAAAAGTTTGCCTGATGGGATTGGCCTGGATAGTAATGCTACACCCTATGCGACCGCATCTCATTGGCACCCCTGGCAGAGCAGCTCAATGAGCCATAGAGGTAAAGGTGGAAGGTGAGTGTGGCAGGGAAGGTAAAGGCTCAGGCTAAAGGCTAAAGAAGGGTCCCACCTGCTGGCATAACTCAAGCCGGAGCCATGGAGGCGGAGGTGGGAGACACGTTTGGGTAAAGGAGGATGCCCCTGGGGAGAGGGAGCTGGTTATATGCATCCTACATAATTTATCTTCATATGGCCTGAGAAGGCTTGGAGCTGGCCTGCTTTGCCCAGAACAGCAGCAGCCTGTCTCCCCAGGCAGCGCACACTGCTGTGCAGCTCCTCTCTTGGTTTGGCGGACTGACTCCCATCCTCTGATGGCCCTCGAGAGACCTTTTTCACACCCTCCACCCTCCCTGGTGGCTCAGCTAGATGCCTCCTCCAGCTCTATCCGCCGTCTGAGATCTGATCATCCCAAATGTTCCTATGCCAGGCTGAACTCTGCCTTCTCAGAATGTCCTCACTCCTGCCAACCTGAAGCTCTTATTTTCAACACAGAAATGGGAAATTGGGAGGGAGGCTGAGTGCCATGGGGCCTAGAGTATGTGGTTTGGAGGCAACCAGTGGAATCATTTTTGGGTTAATGGGATGCCTGAGCTGATAAGCAGAGATCCCCCCGGCCCCTACTCCCGAATATGCCTGTGGTGGGTGGCGCTGTGTGGAGCAAGGCCTATATGCAGCACGATCCGCAGGTGGTCCCCACTTGCCCACCCCACCATCCTGCTGCAGCTTCACCCTCACCCTCCACCTCAGCCCTGTTCATTTCTCTCTCCCCTCTTTCCCTCCTCTCCTCCCTCTAGGTAGTGCAAGCAGCAGCTGTTGACCCCAGTGGCACATATGCTTGCCTGGCCTATCTGCCCTTGAGCTTCCTACGGGTGCCCATCTTGGCCTGCATGCTGCAGGACTTGTGCTTCTGTGCAGATACCTCTGATTCTTCTCCTCTTCAAAAGGAAAAAGGACTCAGATAAGAGAGGAGGTTAGGGAAAGAAGACTTGAACGACTTTTTTTTTTTTTTTGAGACGGATTCTTGCTCTGTCATCCAGGCTGGAGTGCAGTGGCGTGATTTCAGCTCACTGCAACTTCTGTCTCCCAGGTTCAAGTGATTCTCCTGTCTCAGACTCCCAAGTAGCTAGGATTACAGGCGCATGCCACTGTGCCTGGCTAATTTTTGTACTTTTAGTAGAAATAGGTTTCACCATGTTGGCCAGGCTAGTCTCAAACTCCTGACCTTGTGATCCACCCGCCTCGGCCTCCCAAAGTGCTGGGATTACAGGCGTGAACCACTGCACCCGGCCCAGACTCTCTATTCTTTTGCTGAAGGCTTTTATCAATCTGATGCCAGCCTACGTTTCTGGCTTTCTCTCCCAGAACATCCTAGTATGTACCGTTCACTGTCATCACACTAGACTACCAACTGTTTCTCAAAAACACTTTTTCTGCCTCTTCACCTTTGCTCATGCTTATCTTTCTATCTGGGAGGGTTCCTTCCACCATTCATCTCTCCATTTAAAAATATTTTTTGAGCACTTTTTATTTTGAAAAATTTCAGTGCAGAGAAGTTGAAAGAATAGTACAGTGAACAGCTATGTAACCTACACCTGGATTCGCCAGTTGTTATTGCCATGTTTCTTTCTTTTCTCTCTCTTTTTATCCTGGACCAACTGAAAATAAGTTGCGGGCATTATGACACTTTACCCCTAAATATTTTGGTCTGTATCTCCTCATAATAAGGACATCATCCTGCATAACCACAATCTTTTCTTTTCCTTTTTTTGTTGAGACTGAGTCTCACTCTGTCACCAGGCTGGAGTGTAGTGGTACGATCTTGGCTCACTGCATCCTCCACCTTCTGGGTTCAAGCGATTCTCCTGCGTCAGCCTCCCAAGTAGCTAGGACTACAGGCGTGCAACCCCATGCCCAGCTAATGTTTGTATTTTTAGTGGAGATGGGGTTTCACCATGTTGGCCAGGATGGTCTGGATCTCTTGACCT